GTGTTACAGCAAAGACTGCTTTTAAGAACTGCTGCAATTTGTCTGAGTCATAAATAGTTAGATTTAACTAAATAAGAATGGATGTTGATACTGCCCCAGTAGAAAGATAAGAGGTAATTGGTTAGAAATCAATGTTACTATCTTGGTGCATGCTCTCTGATATGTACATGCTGGAAAATAATCTCGACTTCCACATCTTCGTTTGTTCTGCCTTAATATGATTCATATAAACTCTGACTCCAAAAATGCACTCAATATGAAGACTCAGATTTATTTGTTCATCCACTCACAGTGTGACGCAAAAACAAACACACTCCACACGGGAGCTTTCTACAGTATTTGTTAACATTTGCAAGAGTCGCAGCTAAATTTAGCAGCGTGTCGTCGTGGCATCAGTTTACCTCGGGCTTGCCCAGAGCCTCGGTGGACTGGGGTTGGTCGAGCTGGGTGTTGCTATGTGTCCACTTGAGCATCACCTTTCACCTTTCATCAGCATGGGCCTTGGTCGCCATCCTTAATGTGTCAAAACCAATGTGGGATGTGAACGAATGCCACAAATGCCTCTGACATCATGGAGTTTCCACTGCTGCGCTCGGTTCGGCTCGGCTCACGGCTCGCATGTTTCACATTGCTGGCTGAGGCACAGGGGTTCCCCACCCGCCGCCCCCTCTTTGACCATACATGTCACCCAGATCTGCTGTGTATTTGGAAGGACATCGTCTTACATCTGAAAGGTGCAGTCAACATCACGTAGGAGCCACAGAAGTAAACAAGAGGGTTTTTTTTTTTAAGTACTTGAATTAAAGAAGTGCAAGTACTAAAAAAATATTTAATGTGCTGGACAAACTAGATGAATATAGATTGATTTAGGACAGAAATTTCTTTCTGGATGGAGTATGTTAAGCCTGTTGTGTCTGGTTTTTGGTAAACAGTGCTGCTCAATAATGGTGGTGGGCTTCAGTGATGTGTTTCTTGGGAGCCACGCCATTCCCATCGGTGTACACATGTTTTTGAAAATTAAAGTTAAAAATTGTTGAAGCCGAAGCAAATAGTCAAACTATTGTAAAATGTCACGAGGTTTCTAAATGAACGTAGGCAAGAAAATAAAATATCCACTTTGTATTTGGTGAAATAAGACGACTACAAAGCAATAGTTTTTTTTAAACATACTTATTATTTTCTTTAAATTATAGAAACATTATTTTATAGCTATTCCAGTTATTAAAAATCAAAGGAATGCTGTTGCATGTTATTTTAGCAAAGGATATTGATCTTTGGTTAACTAGCTCATATAATTTATTTGTATTTATGTATTGTCTTAACTTTTAATTTAATTCCATTAGCTTTCCTGCTAATCTACACTCTTGCATTTCCACATTTCTTATAATCGATTACTTTTTAATACGTAACTGTTCTATAACCTACAATTTGTTTTCGTCGTGCTTGTCTAAATGTCCGTCTTTCGGTTTTTAACCTCTGTAAAAACGCTTTACGCTTGAGTGCCTAAACAGGACTCAGTAAATACAGTTTGTTGATTGACTCATTGGATTTATTTTTGAATTCACAGTTTCAAATTGAATTCAAAGCTGCATATGGGATTTTGTGTGAGGCCCTTTTCTACGTGTTTCCTGTCAGCAGACTAATCCTAAATTATTCCTGGGGATTGCCTCAGAGGTTTCCTTTCCTGTGTTATATCTCCACAGCTGTCACTCACATGTCCAGCTGGTCCTTAAATATCAAAGGATTTCTTAGGTCACACACCAGATGTCCTTTAACCCACCTTTGATGGACTCCGAGGTACCATGTCCATCTTTGGCCATCACATTTGGGCTGGCAGCTGTCGATGCAACTTATAAAACCATTATTTTGAATGTTAATGGAAACAGAAAAGCAAACACAATAACAATCTGTTTACTCGTGCAAGTGCTGGATAGCTGAGTGTTCGGTTGTTTGTTATCTGAGTGTTATGAAACATTTTAAGAGCAGGATTAGGTTTTCCATCACACGCTCACACGGGCATCCGGAACGAGGTTATACGACACTTCTAACTTTAGTCTCTTCTTCTCTTCTGCTTTTAATAATCCAGTTGGTCTGTTCAGTAGGAATGTAAAGCCTCCTATTTATTACCTGCAGACATGTAAGGCCCCAGACACACCTGGATATTCTGTGCCAGACAAACTCATGTGACACCAAGACGAACTCAACCACCTCAGACGCCGATGGAACTTTCCTTACTTCACCGCAGAGCTGCAAAATTGAAGTCGCCCCCCGTCAAAATGACAGTTTTTATGATTTAACAACATGAGACCACAATAAAATCACTTCAGAGTTTTATTTATCCATACAATTAAGCTGGAAAACACAATTGTTGGGGAAGAAATGACAAAAATGTAAAACTTGCAAACCCCACTTGGATTATTCTTTCATCTTGTTTGTTGGACGTTTATTTAGTTAGAATTTATTTTTGGTCTATTTTATTTAATCACACAATCTTGGCTTTGAGTGTCTTTGAGCCTCAGTGGGAAATATGTGTTGAAAACAAAGTACAGCTCTGATTTCTTCGAAGTACTAACGGTATCTGCCTTACGACTGTGACCTGCAGGAAAATGCTGACGTTGGAGCGAGATCCGGTTATCAGTGGATATTCTGTTCTAAATAGGAACCGGAGACTGTAATTGATACAACCTTGCCTTTTTAAGTAAAAAAAAAAATAAATAAAAATTAAACATTCTCACAAAATCTATATTTTTTGAATTTAAAGACTTATGTTTGCAGGTAAGTGTTTACGAGTGCGTGGAACCGTCAGCAGGTCTCACTGACCCAGTGTAAGAGTCTTGACCTTGAGGAGAGTGTGGCAAGTAAACTTATCCCGACGACCCCCAGGAATGAGACATCATGTCCGGCCTTTCCTCAGAGCAACGTGCCTGGAAAAAAGATAAAACACACACACACACGCGCATACATGTATCTGTTTTTACGGGGGGAAACCCTTTGGAGGGAACGTCCGGCATGCTGTGGGATCCAGCAGGGGATGGAAACCTCATCTTTTGCCAAGAAAGGATTGAGATAAAGTAGGAAGGGCTGGTTGTGTATTATTCTTACTTTTATAGATTTAAAAGTGTGATGGGAAAATTTGCCATTTTGTTTATTTCCACAAAATTCCTACGCACTATTAGGTTGTCTAATAGTTATTCACACATAGATACTCTCATAAGAAAGCCAAAATCTCACTTTTATTTTCTGAAGTAATTGGTTTCTGGGTTTGTTAACGTTTGGGATAGACTGAGAGCGCTGTAGCTGTTCAAGAATAAATCTAATCCTCAAAAACACAACCTTCGTCATAAATCTGCACACATTTCATGTCCTTTTTATTAAACTCAAAACAAATTGTTGCAGGAAGACAAGAAAAATTCTTTACTTTTCTCATTTGTAACGCAGATTACCCGTCAGGACTGATCAATGCGGCATTGGGTTGTTGTTGCATGGCCTCTGCTTTTGTCCCATTAAATCATCCTTTATTAGTTTGTCTCGACGTATAAATATCTGTGTGCAGAGATCCTTGACACCTGTGGTCGTGCAACATAAGGTTTGAGCATGTAAAGCACACAGGCAAGCAAACACACATCTGAATAGGTTGCTAACGTGTTGTTTGGTGCGAGACTGCAAACTGAGTCATCCTGGATTCTCTGGCACAGGCTCATGTGAAGCTGTTGCATGGCGGTAATTAGTGGAAGCAGGAAGGTGATAACAAGAAGGAGCCACACGTTTGCAGCTGAGGCGACGCTGCCAGCATGCCGCTCAAAGTCCCAGCCACACCTTTCGCACCCTCTCACACGTCCCCAGGCAGATCCTTTCAAATACGTACACATGTACCCGAGCTGCAAAACAGTTCAACAAAATACTCCCCAATGACACTCTTTACATATTGTGCATAGACTATATGTCCAACACAATTTTTCTTCTTACTCCTGTTTCATGTTCTTCCTTTGCCTCCTACTCTTCCTCCTCCTCCTCCTCCATTTACAGTCTGACTCATCGTATCCAAAAGGTGAGATGCTGCATTCAGTTGGTTATTTTCATCTTGTCACATTTGAAACTTTCTTCAATTTTCTTTTATCATGTTACTTTCAATCCTGCCTGTCAAGTCTTCTAGCCTTAAACATTGTGATGTTCTTTTTTAAAGTCTTACAATGTTTTTAGTCAGGGAGTTTTGTGTTAAAAATACTGAAGGACTAACTTGTACCTTGTTGCAAAGCAGTTTAACCTCAAATGCGCTTCCTGATATGCGGGTTATCACACTCATCACCTAAGCTGTGGTGGTGTGTTGCGTGCGGAATATCAGCCTGTGTTTTTTAGCCAGCCTGTCTTTTGACAATTGTAAAATCTACCACAGCTAACACATGCCATGTGCAGCAAGCATGTGCATGACTTCTATAAAATCAACACAGCTTCATCTCAGATATCTTAGTAATGATCCAGTGTTGGCATCAAACAATCTTGGTGCTTGTTGAAATTGAGCTTTTATTTAGGATAAGTTCATTCGATGGTGTCGTCAAGGACAGATAATGCACCTGGCCGCGTTGCAGCAGAACACTGTGAGTTTCAATCTGACACACAAAGCTCAGACATGACAGGACTTGGTGCGATACTAAATTCTCTACCTGGAAAGCTGGGAAACAGATTTACCAACAAAATCCCAAAAATCCAACCTTGTGTTTTGCAATTGTGAAGGGTCAATCAATTAATCTAAATGTTGAGTCGTTTTCATCAGACACAAGAGGGAGTCCTGCAGAATACAGCACCTAGCTGCAGCCAATCATAAGAGTAACTCTAGTCATCACATTTATTCAATTAAGACGCCAAACACTTTGGTCCCTTAATAGTTATGCTAATTTTCCCACCGTAGTCACACACATCCTGCTCTTCTCTGCATGTTTGGTGTTTTTCCTCTGTGCCCCATTGATGGCTTATGTCTCTTTTTCACCATTTATTTCTCTCAGGTTGTGGAAACAGCAGTTTGGGTGGAGACATGTACGGCGCCGGCTACCATGCGATTACCAACATAGACTACTCCTCGGTGTGCATCAGCGCCATGAGAGCCAGGTACAGCGGTTGTCCTGGTATGACCTGGCATCAGATGGACGTTCGTCAGCTCTCCTTTGCCGACGCGTCCTTTGACGTCATCCTTGAGAAGGCGACGCTGGACGCCATCATGGTTGAGGAGAAGTCGCCATGGGAGGTCTCTCCTGAAACGTCATCCTTCATTCATCAAGCTCTCAGCGAGGTAGCCGTAAAAACCTTCGTACTTTATATTAGGACTGAGTTTATTTACTCAGTGGATCTTTGGACTTTCACAAAATTGGAGTGAATACCAACAAAGCACCCAAGTGGTGTGACATCAGTGGTTTTCCTTTGTAAAAAATGGACTGGGATCAGGAATTAAAGCTTTAGAAAACTTCAGAAGCATTCTAATAGAAAAGGAGAGCATTGTGAAAACAAACAAACAAAAAGTCCTAACTTTATTGTCTTTTTAAAATTTCTTTTAGGCCAGAAATGCTTTACATGGTCCTTTATTAGTGTTTCACGCAGGAAGATCACCAGGATGATCATTGGTTTCTGAGTAAATAAGTGAGTAGATAAAGCTATTTTTCAGTCATTTCCAGAAGTAAACAGAAAAATATAGATAATATGCAATTAATACACACAGAAATTAAGCAGCGTGAAACATAATCAAAAACAAAAACGCCTGTAAATGAGCCAAGATCTCAGGTGTGACAGTAGTTTAAGAGGTTCACATACTGTAAACCACTGTGATGTTTTGTGTTTGGAGTTCTTTCAAGACGGTAGAAGTCCGCTTTCATTTTTGCCCGTCTCAGATGAGCCATTAATTCTTTAGGATCAACTAATCTGGATATTTACTACACGAAAACGACAATTATCACCTGCAAGTACCTCTGTGTTTGCTTGTAACCTTTTAAAAGAACCTCGCTTCAGAAATCCTTACCTGTGCCTTTAACTCTGCATCCTTCACATCTCGTTTTTACTCATTAAGGAGGCATTTATTTACCTTCATTGCAGTGGTGCATAGAACAGAAGCGCAAACGTCTGCACTGCAGATCGACTCGAGTTTCCTCGTCTTTTACTTCTAAATGTGGTTCAAACAGTGAATGTCGCTACTGTGGTGATTTGAATGCACCGCTACAACAATAGTATATCTGCAAATTACTCTCTGACAGTGAAATCAGTAATGGTGGCACTTAACATTTCCACTCCACTGCCCGTAAAGAGGACTGACAAGACGCTGAGTGCTCTCAGCTGTTGGCTGCTGCAGTAACCACCACATCAATTTGACAATGACAATGTTTTGGCCATTAGCCATGCTAGACCTTGACACACTAAGACAAGAGAACACCACTATTAACTGGAGTAGGAAGCTCAGGGTTTGTAAGTGGTGAAGAACAGCTCAAGGTACGCTCACTGGAATGCTTGAAGTGCAGCTTAATAAGTCACAATTCGAATTTAAGTTCACAATGTTCTTCGAAGTTGTCCGTTTTACAGGGTTAATTATAAATCCTGGTCCTACAGAGTTCTGTAAAAAAAAAAACTCAAATTCAAATAATTATTTAATTTATCAAAAGAAAAAAATATGACCAAACCAACCTGGAACGCTGTTAAAAAAAAAATAATAATAATAATAATAATTGCCCAAAAACCTACTAAAGGCTGGCACCCTCCTTGACAGAAACAGCTGCTGCCATTTGTGAGTAGTTTACTCACTGAGGAGTGATTCTGGCCCGCTCTTCTTTGCAGAATTATTTTGTTTTAGGACATTTATGTTGCTGCTTGTTTACGTTCATGTCGCTGTACGCCCACTAGATTTAAGTCCAGACTTTGATTCGCACTCAGACACATTCGTTTTTATTTTCGGCGCCTTTTAAAAGGCGGACTTGTTTTGGATTATGTTCTTGCTGTACAACCCAAACGTTCTTAAGTTTAAGGTGAAAAACTGATGACTACTGTCAAGCTCCACTTTCGTCTTTTGCAAATGTGAGCCAGGCCATTGGGCTCTTTTTAGTCAGCAGAGATTTTTACCTTGAAATTTTGCCATTGATGACATTTTTGCTCCATTTTTGTCTTTTTGTTCACACAAGATACTGAGATACTGAGATAAATGAGACCTGCAGTGTCTTAGATGTTGTTTTCAGCTCTTTTGTGACTACTGTTTGAGTCTTTCATGCGCTCTTGGAGTCATTTTAGTTGGCCTTCAACTTCGTCAAAAGTTCACAACTATCCCATGTATTCCTACTTCATGGATTGGAAATTACATTTTAAACTTCTGGACTGATCCATGTCAGAATCTATGTTTTTGTTTAGGTGTGGGGGAGATGTTGCGCCTTTTTGAGATCTTTTATCCTACATAGTGTTGTCAGGTTTTATTGAAGGTATTTTTTATCCTGGAAATAATCAGGCCTGGGTGAGGCTGGTGGCATTAAATTATTTAAAATCACAAGCTATCTTTTTGTGATTTTGAAATTTGGTTTATACTCTTAAATTTTGAAAGGTGACAAGAAAACAAAAGGGGTGAGGGGTGACCCATTGTGCCATCGTTGTATGATGAATTGGATTGCTAGTCAGTCACGCGTATAAAAGTCCCAAATTGTTGTCTCAATCTAGTATTTTCTGAAATATTTCCCACTACCAAATTAGCTGGAGCTTTAAGGCTATATAAGCTTCATCGGGCAGGAGCCTAACTCCAGTGAACAAAAGCAAATAGGCAACAGACACGCATGCAGGAAAAAAAGGGGGCTGTTCTCTTGGTCTTTTCCTCCAACAGAAGGAGGTTTTAAAGGAGGATCAGTGAGTTTGGTTGCTGCACAGATGGACGGATTTGACTTTGCTTCAATAGGAGTGAAGCCGAACTCATAAAACAGCCTCCAACCTGTTCAGAAGTCATTAAAGTGACATTCCAGGTTCCTTCTCACGCTTTTTCACTTTCACATTTCCTCACCTCTAATTTCCACCCCATTTTCTCCTCACTTTTATAAAGATTTCCCCCCAGCTGCTCTGTTCTCAGGGCTGTTTGGTCACAGGCAGGTGTAAAATTGATCGTGCGATCTTTGCAGCGCACTACTAACGGTGTTTCTTAGTGCGTTTGTGTTTGTTACAATTCAAAGGCTTGTAATCTTTGGCTTATGTGGCTCGAGCTGTCACGATTTTTGCTCTAGTTTGAGTGTGTGTGTGTGTGTTATGCAGGAATGTGGGAGGTCTGTTGTGAACCTATTTTCTCACAGAAAACATTCTCACTTGAGAGGCAATGAAAGGGAAAGGGAGAAAACCTCAGATCCACCAGGAGGGTGTGGATCCCTCAGAGGTCTTCTGCTACCAGTGAACTGGGATGGAGAAGTTGATTAAATGAGAGGAAAACAGGGATGAAGAAGCTGCATGACAGCAAATGAGAAAGTTAGTGAGGAGAGGGGGACGAAGGAGCGAAAGCCCTACAGAAAGCTAATGAGCAATGTGCCGCTATGAGGCCGATTAGACGGAGCACAGCTGAAAATAAAATCTGCTTTAAGGCTTTTTTCCCACCAATTACTTGAGCTTTAGAAACACACTGATAAATGACAAATGGCGCATATTTACACTTGGGAATACTTGGGGAAACAAACAAACAAAACAAAACAAAAAATCAAATCAATGCTTCAGAAATTGCAGCCAAAAAAAGAAGCAAAACAACAATAAATCATTCTCACCTGTCATGTGTAATTCTAACAACTGACAATCTCGACAAAGAGTCGCGGAACAATAGATTTTTTTGTGTTTATTTTTGTTTCTAACTTGCACGCTTCGCTCATACATTCAAACAAAATCTCGCCGCAGAGGCCGCGGTTCGCTGAAGTGTGAAATTTATTTCACAGACTGACACGCTCTATGAATCACTCCGGCTGTTGCTATGGAGACTTTCATTGGATATCATTTTAGACTAACACTTTTAATTGGTAACCTTTAGTCCTGTTTAAAAGGTAAAGAATAGTCCTTGGGCTTTTTTTTTTTTTTTTTTTTCTAAGAGACAAGTTTACCTGAAGATGCTTGATTCTAATTTGTCCTGATTTACGAAGGAATAAAGAAATTATAACTGGACTTTTCACCGTGTTGCTAAAAGTATCGGGTCCCCCATCCAAATCACTGAATTCAGGTGTTAAATCACTTCTATTGCCACCTGTTACAGTAACAGCTCCCATAGACTTTGAGAAGGAAAATATGCAAAATATTCTGCAGTCAATTGTTAGTTGTGTTATATAAAAAAAAGTGGAAGTAAATATGAATGACAGCAAATCAGACCAGGTCAGTGAATGATGATCGCACTCTGGTTTGTGGTCATGCGAGCAACATGTGCTGTGCAGAGGTGACCAACTTTCCTCAAAGTCAATAGCTACAGACCTCCCAGTTTTATGTGGCTTTCAGATTAACTCAAAAATAGGAAGCTTCAAGGAACGCACGTTCATCATCATGCAACTTCATTTGACTAAGAGCAATACAAAGCCTCAAGCAGTGGTTTAAAGCATCGCACCAGTCGACTGAAAGGAATTGGAGACACGTTAAAGCATGAGTCTGGGTCTGGCAGTGTGGAGTTGCCCCCTTCGACTCCACACTGCACGCCAATTCAAAAAGCATACTCCATAAAGAAGAAGCCAGACCTTCTTTTCAAATGCTTTCCTGGACAAATATTCAGATATTTCTATAAGGCCACTTTAAAACCTTGTAGACCGTCCTCTGTGAAGAGTTGAATGTTTTGGTGATACATTTCTGTTCCCTGCATGTCGGGGGATTTTGCATAGAAGTACTTTCCTTGGAGGTGGCTGAAAGAGAGATTATGCAAGGTCAAGAGGTTCACTCCAGTGCAAATCAAAATCTGTCCTAGTTTGCTGGTTATAAACAGAGCAGCATGATTTCTGTGTTCATATATGCAGATGATAATCTAAATTAGAGCAGTTGTGTGCAGCAGCTGTTCAGAATGTTTTTGCCCGATAACTCCAGGCTGAGTTTTTTATCCATGCTTGCAGCTTGGCTGAAGGTCCTCTGAGTCCTTAATGCATACTGGAAGAGTTGGACAGCTGTTGGGCTGGCGTTAGTGATATTCATATTGTATCTCATTGCATCGGGGTTGAAGTTTTTATTAATCTTGATTTTACTAGTTATAATAAGTGTGTCGTTTCTGTTGGATAACAGACTGCAGTCATTAGTTGTTGTTTTCAACATGTTTGCTAAGGAATTCCAGCCCATTCC